GAGCTCGAAACCTTAGAGGGTAAGCAAGTACCCCGAGCATGGAACATCGTCAACCTAAGGCGATACTACCTATAGACCGCCAAGCAAAGTGGATAAAATCACCACCAAAACAGGCTGCACGTGTGCGGTAGCTCGGACAGAAAACAGATTGGACGTATGATTAGTTCGGCAAAATATGTGAAGCAATGTACTCATCGACAACCTTCTTCTTGGCATCTTCGATACCTTGAGAAAAGATCTGTGTCCTCTTCCTGATGTCCTCCTGAAGGTACTCGACCTGTTGCTGCAGATCCAGCCTCAAGTCCGCCATGTGTTTCACCACCACTCCCATGGCCTCGGCATCTCTCTGAGACCTCGCCCGCCTGATCCGGGAAACACGAGCAGCCTCCTCGATAGCACGACGAGCCTCTTCGGCAGCTCGCGCCTGCCTCGAGCTCCTCTCCACCTGAGCCGCCAAGGCGTGAATAGAAGAATTCACCTACCAAAAGGAACCGAGTGATCAAAAGAACCAACAAAACGAAAGCCAAAGAGCTCATAAAAAGGGGGAACACTTACCACCATGGCATGGGTAACGACACGACAGACCACTTGATGCAAAGGAAGATCAGCCCACGCCGCGACCTCCTCGGGGAAAATAGCCTCCTTACTCTTTTGAAGAGCATGGGTCAGCGACAGCACACTCCTGAAATCCCCCGGGGCCCCCGACCCCGAAGGCCCAGCTCGCGTATGAGCAGACCCGGAGTATGTAGGAGCCCCTGTGTAAGTAGTCTCAGCATAAGGGCCCCCTGCCGGCTCCTGCATTGGAGGAACCATCTCGGGCTCCCTGGGCAGATCTTCTGGCAGATAGTCCGGCACCTCGGGCTCTGCATCCCGGGTTATCTCGGCGCGAGTTCGCTTGGCAACCCGCTTTCTCCTCTTCATGCCTTGAAACAAGTGCCCACCCCGGGTCCCTCGAGAATCCATCACACCTGCGAAAAGAAGTTCGCCATCAGCCAGTTCAGCGGTTTACTGATTAAAATCAACGGTTTTGGGGAAAAACGAAACCAATCAAATGACCGATTCCCAATTATTTTGGTCCGACTGTCCGGTCCGATCCAGTTTTAAAAACCATGGTGTGGAGTGTGAGTACTGGTTCCATAGCCTATTGAGAAAATCCTATCTCACAAGTAGATAAATGCTATTAGCTGTTTAATTTTGTCCGAGTTTTTTTCCTTGAATTAGAGCCCAAATAATTAGGGGAATTGCTTATTTTATCGGGTTATTTCTGATGAAGGAAGATTTGGGCCGACCTCACAATCACGCCACGTGGCAAAAAACAAGTAGCTCGGCACTTAAAGCAACGTACCCAGGGTGCAAACACCAAAGGGAAGAAACCGGCAGTCCGAACTCCCCTCGAGGAGACTGAACTCCCTTCGAGGAGCCCGAACTCCCTGCGAGGAGCCCGACCTCCCTACTAAGAGCTCGAACTCCCTACGAGGAGCCCGACCTCCCTACGATGAGCCCGAACTCCCTACGAGGAGCCCGACCTCCCTACTAAGAGCTCGAACTCCCTACGAGGAGCCCGACCTCCCTACTAAGAGCTCGAACTCCCTACAAGGAGCCCGAACTCTCCCTTTAACCTTGAGCCAGACAAAGTAGTGACCCGAACTGGCCCGCCTCATGG